TTTTTTTTTTAAAAATCGTTGTCATTTGGAAATGAGATCGCACATAAGTATGAATCGAGATCGCGATTTTCTAACGATTAATCGTGCAGCCCTACCGTGTACCACATAAAATTGGTTCGAGGTCAGTAAGCACAACCAGAATTCATACATACGGCGCACTTCGATTTTTCAGAAAATCGATTTTTTTAAGAGCGACTTATTTTCCAAAAAACACGGTAATAATGACGCCCGCTAGCATGCTCTACCAAAAATTGTGCTTTTGTGTGTATCTGACGGACGAAAGCTAAACCAGTTCCACACCACTGAACCATTTTTACAAACCAATTCTGGTTCATCCGTTTCATTCAACGATCCGCTTTCGCCCTTCTCATTCTCCTTCGCCGCCATGCTTTTTCCGCCAGGTGCGTATGAAAAGAAAGGCACTGCGCATGCATGCTTTACCCATATTCTATCGCAATATTTCATTTTCTTATCATTGCCCAACATTATACCGGTATTACCGTGAACGGTATGATATGGCCCAGCCCTAGCGTTTAACATAAATTATTCCTCTGTATAGGTTTCAGTGTTACATTTTTTGGATATCTGATATAAAATATTTTTAATAGAAGATGCACAAAAAGATTTTCAGTTTTGAAAATCTTGTCATGGTGAAATTTTGTTCTACATAGCTCTCATACTCTACTATACACTCTCTGCACAGTCAGCAACAGACAAAATAGACATCACAGCTGAGCAGTAGAGTCAAGTTGTCTTCATGTTGAGTTGCTAATTAAGAAAATAGCATTACAAGAAAACTGAATGGACCATCTATCTATCTATCTACCATTTATTTTCTACTCTGGGGTAATACTTAATTGATGGTGTTTTAGTTATTTTTAAGTATTTTACTGGGTTGTGTACTTCTGTTACAGATCTGCGAAAGCAGGCCAGACAGTTGGAGAACGAACTTGACCTAAAGTTGGTCTCTTTCAGTAAATTATGCACCAGCTACAGCAGCTCCAGAGATGGACGTCGAGGAGACACGTAAGATTAAGGCTTCTCACTTAACTGCAGAGTTAATAACTACTAAAAAGCTGAAACAATTAATATTCTTCTAGCAATAAATCTTTACCAAATGTAAAGATGTATTTATTGTATTTTATTGTTGTCATAATTAATCACATATTTAATATTATTCTTAAAAACAACGATATAGTGAAAAGATATAAAGATACAATGAAAGCAAAGATTGGTTCCAAAGCTCAAACTGAATGTTTTTTATTTTATTTTATTGGAGTTGAAAATGGGTTACTAGTCAAAATGTTATTATTTTTAATTATATTCGTCATTCAGAGTTTTCATATCTAGCCTGAATTGGAATTGTTAAAATGCATATTTGTTAATCAGCAAAAAAAAAAAGGTTAAGTCTCCAAAAGCACTCAAAGCACTTTATACAGCATGCCTCATTCACCCATACACCAAGCACTTTTCTCTATGCCTAATTATTTTCTGTCTACTAATCACACACCTATACTCTGATGGATGCAATGGAGAGCAAATTTGTATCATGCTCAAGGATATTTTGCATGCATTCTGGAGCAGCCAGGGATTGAACCACCAACCTTCAGATCAGTGGATGACCTGCTCTCCTAAGCTACAGCTACCCCTAAAGTAGCTTGAATGGAATATTCTAACACAAAAACTACATGTTTCTTTATTGCCGACCTTAAGTATTTTGAGACCAAGTAGGCTTTTGAAACATTACCAATCAAGAAAAAAAAACTTGATTACTTACTTCTGTTTGATTACAGTTATTTATTTTTTACTAACAGCTTTAAATTCTTTATTTGATGAATGTGTAATTTCTGCTATGAAATAAAGCACATTTCTTGTCCATTAAACACAAGAAAACAGTACAAGATGTTTTTTAATGTGAGTTAAAAACCAATTACAAATAAGCTGCTTTAAATAAAAATTCTTAATATTCTTCCATCTTATTTTTCCTTTCAGGTCAGACACCACACCTCTGCTAAACAATTCTACCCAGGACAGGATGTTTGACACCATGTCAGTGGAGATTGAACAGTTGCTAGCCAAAGTAAGTAAATTGTCTCAGGTCAGTGGAAAAGGACGGCAAAAAGAATATAATAAGAACAGAAATGCATATATGCCTCATCCTTCGTGTCCATCCATCCGTCCACTCTGTTTCCTTCTCTCTCTCAGCTGACTGCAGTGAATGACAAGATGGCGGAGTACACCAATTCTCCGGGCGCAGCTGCTCTCAACGCTGCTCTCATGCACACGCTCCAGAGGCACAGGGACATCCTACAGGTTTGCTGTCTTGTTCCTTTTTTCCTGTCGCTCATCTGTTTTCTATAGTTTTTTTTTTAAATTTAATTGAAATCATTTTCTTTCATAGCGACTTCTTCTCAGTTATAGTTACTGAAGTCAATGAAGAGCCCAAGAACTACTTTCTAAAGCATATACTGAGTCTTAGGCTACGTTCACACTACAGGCGAAAGCGCATCAAATCGGTCTTTTTTGACCCTATGCGACCCATATCCGATCATGGTATGACAGTGTGAACAGCACAAATCC